GGTTGATCTTCTCTCCAAAGTTTGCTCATATCCACCAAATCCTCCTTGCTTTCAACCACGTGCCTCACTCGAACATATAATAGTAATTTTCAGCTAAATGATAAGAAATAATGAACAGGACGACAGCTCGTTTTTCAAATTATGCAACTAACTGTTAAAAATTACTATCTTGACCAAGATATATAGCGTATCTCATACGCTTATCCTATTTTCAGGTACATTTCTGTAATCTGTTAAATCATCCCATCTAGAAAATCCTTTAAGATTTTGACGAAATGATCAATCACCCAAAAATTTTTGTACTCTGAAACGGCCCACTCTGAAAGGTCCCCTACCGGTTATGGACGATTCAGTATCGCCGATTCAGTATCCGTCGAATCAGTTTATGGCCATAACTTTCCTGATATTCGACCGATTTGAATAATTCTCATATTATTCGAATGGTCTCGGGATTCGACATCTTTTTCATAATTGGCCCGATCTGATCTGATGATCACAAAAAAAGTTACAGCGTGAAAACCGATTTTTTATGCCTGTGACGTCGTTTATCAGTGATAACTTTTTGTAGAGTGATCAGGTCATGTCAGTCCAATTATGAAAAAGATGCAGCACCACGAGGGCTATCAAATCAAATATAATAATATTGATCGAGCAAAAAGTTATGGCCAAAAAGCCCAAATACTGAAGCGACGATACTGAGTCGTCCCCTCCCCTACCCTTATTTTTAGGCGTTTTGAATGTTCTCTAGTGTTTAGAGATTTCGTTAAATTAAACAAACAGAAAACAAAGCAAAGAATAGAAAAATAAAGAAAATATAAGGGGATAGAGAGCGTTTATTTTCTACTTTAACATATTCTGCCAATTCCACATTTTGCCAATAAGGCTAAAATTCCACATTTCGTCATCACTGCCTTAGTGACAAAATGTCAATTTTTAACTTAATTGGCAAAATGTGAATTGGCAGAATATGATTTTTCTGTTATCGTCTATTTTTCTATGACGTCATTTTTAATCATTTTAATGTTCTAGAGCAGACCTGGGCGAAACTCAAAATTTTTTTCTGACGAAACGAAACGAAACAAAATTTTTTTAAAATCGTTTCGTTAACGAAACGAAACGAAACAACCAAAATCTTACGAAACGAAACGAAACAAAACGAAACATTTTAATATTCAAAAAATTTTCAAAACTTCATTTATTTCGCAATTATTCGACCTCAAATACTTTATTAGTCGCCTACGATTTATAAATGATTTAGTTTTTGGTTTATTTACAACAATTTGTCCCATAAGCCAGGCCCGTAGCAAGGAAAATTTTCGGGGAAGGGGGGGGGTCAATCATTTTCGAAGCCGAATTTTTGGCGACGCTTTTTTTCAAATAAAATTTAATATTTTTCAAGTAAAATTTTATTTTAAGCGCCGCAGACGAAAAATTTTAAAATTTTGAAAGGCCGTAGGCCAAAAAATTCACTATCTTGCTCCATTGCCTACCCAAATTGTCTCCATATCTCCATTTCGAGAGGAGAGCGATATAAGCTAATGCTTCGCCGGAAGTTCCGGTTCCAGTATTTCCGCAACTCGCAATCCGCAATTTTTAAATTATGATGCGAGTCCGGTAATAGAATTTGTCGTCGATTAAGTAATATGTATATGCGGATTAGGGAGTGGAGTATAAACGGATTTGTAGTATATAAGTAATTGATATCTTCCTTTTTCAGCGCCGCAGGCGAAAATTTTGACAATTTGGGAAGGCCAAGAAGCCGAAATTCTTCTTTTTCAGCGCCGCAGGCGAAAATTTTTTAAATTTTCAATAAAAGATGGTTAATTTTATAGATTTTGGCCTTAGTTTAGGCTTAAAAAATTGTTTCGTTTCGTTGAAAAATCACAGGTGTTTCGTAACGAAACGAAACGAAACAAATTTAAAAGTGTTTCGTAACGAAACGAGACGAAACAGTAAAAATCATACGAAACATACGAAACAACGAAACGAAACGAAACGTTTCGCCCACGTCTGTTCTAGAGGACAATTTTTCTATTCAATTCGATTTTAATAAAGATTCAACGATTGTTGAAATGTTATTTTTTCTGTCGGTATGGGGCAAAACACCGTCCGAACAAAATACCGTCTGAGATTTTAAATAAAAGTCGACCCATTTTCACCGGTAAAAAATTCGATATAAGTCGATATTGTGTTAGCCTAATAATTTTTAGGTTCTAAGGCTATTTAGGCTTTGGTATTACTCAAATTTTAAGCATAAAACTCTTATTCTTTAATGTCCATTATCTCTAAGCGAAGATGGGTCGGAATTCAGATTTCCGACGTTTTTTTCCTTCCGAGTTCCGACAAAAAATTTTGATTTCCGAGTTCCGACTTTTGAGTCAGTTCCAATTTCCGGCTCTTCCGGTTTCTGACACCTCGGACTGTTCCGACCCGCCTCTTACTCTAAGCGAAGTAGTCGGTGTATTGGTCGGACGGTGTTTTGCCCCTACACGGTTTCTTTTTCTTCTCTTCGCTTTTATTTGTTGTATTTTTAATTGATTTTTTTAAATTTTATTCTTTTCTAGATTTTAAAATTATTTATTAAACCAAATCCTTTCACCATTGGATAGAGAATTAAATACACTACAAAATACCAAAAAATCAAAATTTTTTCGATGAATCTCGTTGGAAGGAAAGAAAAACAATTTCAGGTTTCTTTTAGTTTTTTAAGATTTTTCTGACGGTTTATCTGAATTGAGTAACCTATAACTCGTGGAGGGGGTCACTTTCCTAGGATGATTTTTGGGTACAGCTCAGTTGAGTCCCAATTTTAGCCCCCCCCCCCCCCAATTTTAGCCCCCCCTGAAATCGACCCCCTAGCTACGCCCTTGGTAGAGATACTACTACATAACATCCGTGTTTTCTGGACGCGGATTTAATTTTTGGCAAATTTTGTCATAAATCGAGGGCCCTATTTTCCCCAAATATCTTTTAATTTTCTAAGTTTTCAATTTAAAGGTAGGGCTGTTCTTTAGTATAACTACACCGAGATCGAAACTTGAAGTATATACCATTCGATTCGTCTCACCGAGCTGAGTTCAAATATGCAAGAATTTTCTGCGGGAGACGAAAACTCGCAGAGATACAGGCCCCCGAAAATCGAAAAACCATAGGGGGGACCAAGCTGATTTTTGGGGTAAAAAATTCGAATATGCAAATTATACCTCATTCGAAAGAGCTCGTCGAGCTGAGTCGAATGACACCAAAATCAACGAAATCCGACTAGATTTGACAAAGTTATGATCGTTTGTTTTAGCTCCTTACCTATGGTCTCTATGGAGGGTTTTGCTACTACGGAGGCTCCAGGTATGCCCAGAGCAAGGGAGATAGGAATAGGTTTACGTTACGAGCCCAGACCCACCGCCCGTAGACTCCCCGCGAGGCGCGTGCCGCAAACCCCCGCGCGAAGCGCGGGGGTTCATTTCTGATATACTCTGATTTTTGGATGAATTCTGGGTTTTATTCTGGTAATCTGATTTTAATTCTGATTTTGAAATTCTGATTCTTGTGGTTCTGGTATATTCTGAATTGGAATTCTGGTTGATTCTGATTTTTTGTAAGAATTCTGATTTTCTGATTTTTGAATCATTTCTGTTAATTCTGACCTATTCTGATTTTTATTCTGATTTTAATAAAAATTCTGATTTTTAATTTTTATAGTAGTCTAGCTCAAAATAGCAGCACCGCTTCAATTTCTGCTGCAGTTACAACTGGTGGACCTAATGCTGTTGCTATAGACAATAAAATTGAACAAGCAATGGTTTTTATTTAATTTTATTTAAAAAAAATATTTTTTGAGGACCTTGTAAAAACTCATTTGACTTTTGCTGTTCGAGAAGAAGTGGAGATTTTACGTTCAACAATTATGGATTTGGAGAATAAGGTTTTGATTTCGTTTACTTAGAATCTAAAAGATTCTTGAAAAAAATTAAAAAAACGTTTTTTTAAAGTTTTCTGAGCGATTTTTGACTATTTGTGTAGTTTCCCTCCCATAAGCCCCGCCCATTTTTCCTATCTTTCCTTGCAATGCTACTCATTTGAATTAATATTTTGATATTATCTATTTACCAAGGGCGTATCCAGTGGGGGGCTGGGGGGAGGCTAGAGCCCCCCCCCCCCGAAATGGGGGAAAGGGGGAAAAAATTAGGAGAAGGATGATCGAAAAAGTGAAATTTTTTCGCCTACAACCCTCAAATTTAAAAAAATTTTCGCCTGCGGCGCAAAAAATGGAAGAAATCTGGCTTCTTGAGCTCCAAAATCCTCAAAATTTTCGCCTGCGGCGCTAAAAAAAGAAGAAATCTGGCTTCTTGGGCTCCAAATTCCAAAAAATTTTCGCCTTCGGCGCTGAAAAGATGAAAATTTATGTACAAAAAAATTTGCGTCCGGAACGCCAAGGCAAACGCCAAAAATTTTTGCGCCCACCCAGTGTTAGCCCCCCCTTCGAAACCGACCCCCTGGATACGCCCTTGCTATTTACAATGTTGACCCAAATAGTCATTTTATAAGAGGAAGGGAAGGAAAATGGGAGGGGCTTATGGGAGGGAAACTGCTCAAGTTCCGTTTTTTCAAAAATTTTCGTTCCCTTTAGGTAAATTTCCTCGAAAACGAAAACCAACTTCTTCGCCAATTTGCCCCTATTGACTTTATTTCAACATTGCCTTCATTTCAAACTTCTTCAGCAAGTAGTAGAAGAGAATCAACAACCCCTTCATTTTTATAATTTTATTTTTTTGTTGTGATAAAAATTTTTTTTAATAAAAACATTACCTTAAATTGATTTTCTTTTGTCTAAAAAATGTTTTTATTTCATTTATTTATTTTTAAAAAATTTTTCTAAAATTTTTTTCGATTTTAGACTTTTCCAAATTTTTCTTTAAAAAATTAAATTTTCAACAAAATTCATTAAAAATGAATGTTGCTGTTGCTAAACCCAAAGAGCGTCAATTTCAGGTTTTTTTAAATTAAAAAAGGATTTTCTGGTTCATGGGACTTTTTTTTTTCAATTCGAATAAATTTTTGGAAACTACTATGAAGCCAACCCGAACTTTTTTTCTTGTGCCAGCCCATCTGTCAATGTATAACATCTGACCCAAGTCAGGGGTGTCAGTTCGGGTATCGGGCAAATTATTTTTGTTTCGGGGTTTTCGCTTGTAGCCGGATACCCAAGGATTTTCTAAGAATCGAAAACCCTTTTCTCTACACATTATTTTCCCTTGGTACAACAAGGTTGAGGTCGGACTGCCCACAACACGGACATTTTTTCGACCCGAAATTCGATTTATGGGAGGGAAACTGCACAAGTACTGTTTTTTGATTAACCCGGCCCGTTCCAGCCTTGACATCCTTCCCACTTTTGTTTTTTCCCTTCAAAATTTTTTTTTCAATTTTTAAGGTTGTACCAGTCCCAGCAGTATTTACTCGTGGACGTTGGGAATGTATTGACTATAAAGACGGCGCCTCGGCCGGTACTGGACCTGTCAGTTTTTCTATTGGAGGGGACAACCAAACAATTGAATTTGATAAATCTTCTGCCTCCCAAACTCCGTTGGCGACTCAAACAAATGTTCATGTTGGGGAGGGAGTTGGAGCTGGACAGCAACAAATTGGAGGTTTTTAATAATTTTTCTGGTGGAAATTAGGTTCCTTTCCCGGTCCGTCGGGGAGAACATTTTTAGGGATTGGGGTTGGACAGGCTCGTAGCCATCGGGGAATTCCCCCACTTTCCCGAACGGGAAAAATTTGGGGAGGGGATTGTGCGAAAAAATGAATTTTTTCGCCTAAGGCTTTCCAAATTTTTAAAAATTTTCGCCTGGGATTTGAGGATGGCATAAGCGATCATAATTGGGTGAGGTTGAGGACCAACACTAGCAAAAAATTTTTGTTGATTGAAATCAAGAACGTATTTAGGTTTCGATTTTAGAGAGGGGAGGTGATAATAAAGGGTTCGCTTGGGATGGGTTGCCAGAAACCCAGACTTTTTTCGTCTCGAAACTTGACCCGACTTTTTTTAATCCGGCAAGTTTGAATGGATAACCACCGATGGATCTAAAAATAAGTGAGTTTTTTGCAAAATTAATTTTTATTTTTGCAAAAAATTAAGATTTCCGGACATTATAAAAACTTTTTCTGGACTTTTTTAAACTCGAGGACAATTTTACGAATAAATTTCCTCATAAAATTAATATTAATTTTAGCTCAACACCAAAATATTCAAAACCCCGTGGTTGCTGTTGAACAACGTGAAACTACGCCAGCGCCACAGCCTGGCATTGTACATCAGGTTTATTTGAATTATAGAATATTTTTGGGGATTTATGTCCGTTAGACTTTTTAAAAAAAGAAACTAACCAAATTCTGAAATTTGCGGACAATTTTTAGCGGACAATCAGAAAAATGCGGACAGTCAAAAAATTGTGGACAATTTTAGAAAAATAAATTTGCGGACTTTTTTTGCGGATATTCAAAAATTGCAGGCATGTAACTTAAAATGCATGTAAATTTTGAATGTCCGCAAATCTTTGATTGTCCGCAATTTGTGTCCGCAAATAAAGTCCGCAAATTTATTTTTGCTAAAAATTTTTAGTACAAATAAATTTTTAGCAAAAATAAATTTGCGGACTTTATTTGCGGACACAAATTGCGGACTAATCATTTTTGAATAAAAATAATTTCAAAAAAAATTTTTTTAAAGGGCTCGACAACAATATTACCAAACACTGCGACTACAACCAACCCACCACCACAACAACAATTATCACAGTTCGACATTTCTCCTAGTCATTCAGTCCCGGCTACTTTGGGAAGTGAATTTGTTCCGCCTGCTGATGGGTTTGGAAATTATTTTTTGAAGTTTTTTTTGTTCTGATTTTGAAATTCTGATTTTTTTGAGCGAATTCTGATTTTGGTTATGTTACATCGTGAATTGGAATTCTGGTTGATTCTGATTTTTTATCATGAATTCTGATTTTCTGAGTTAATTCTGATCTTAATTCCGATCTATTCTGGATTGTGTTCTGATTTTTCGGATTAATTCTGATTCTAATTCTGATTTTTTGAAAAATTCTGGTTTTAATTCTGATTGAATTCTGATTTTTTACTAATGACTTCTGATTTTAAATTCTGATTTTTGGAATCATTTCTGATATACTCTGATTTTTGGATGAATTCTGGGTTTTATTCTGGTAATCTGATTTTAATTCTGATTTTGAAATTCTGATTCTTGTGGTTCTGGTATATTCTGAATTGGAATTCTGGTTGATTCTGATTTTTTGTAAGAATTCTGATTTTCTGATTTTTGAATCATTTCTGTTAATTCTGACCTATTCTGATTTTTATTCTGATTTTAATAAAAATTCTGATTTTTAATTTTTATAGTAGTCTAGCTCAAAATAGCAGCACCGCTTCAATTTCTGCTGCAGTTACAACTGGTGGACCTAATGCTGTTGCTATAGACAATAAAATTGAACAAGCAATGGTTTTTATTTAATTTTATTTAAAAAAAATATTTTTTGAGGACCTTGTAAAAACTCATTTGACTTTTGCTGTTCGAGAAGAAGTGGAAATTTTGCGTTCAACAATTATGGATTTGGAAAATAAGGTTTTTTTGGGGAGGGGAGAATTTTTGAAAAAAAAATTTTTTTGGACCAAAAATTTTTTAGAAATTTTCAGAAAAAAAATTTCTAAAAATTTTTAAAAAAAATGTTTGAAATTTTTTCAAACCCAAAAAAAATTTATTAAAGAAATTTTTCAAAAAATCTTTCAAAAAAATTTAAAAAAAAATTCCCAAAATTTTTGAAAAATTTTTTATTAATTTTTGGGAAATTTCAAAAAATTTTTCTTAAAATATTTTTTAAAAAATTTTTCAAATTTTTTTCAAATTTAAAAAATTTTCTAAAATTAATTCCGATTTATTCTGAAAAAATTTTTTTCAAAGAAATTTTCAAAAAAAAAATTTTTTTTTTTGAAAACAAAAAATTTTTGAAAAATTTTTTGAGTTTTCAAAAATTTTGAAATATTTTTCGAAAAAATTTTTAAAAAAAATTCAGAAAATTTTCAAATTTTTTCAAAAAAATTTTTCCCCCTCTTTCTAGGTAAATTTCCTCGAAAACGAAAACCAAATTCTTCGTCAATTTGCCCCTATTGACTTTGTTTCTACATTGCCTTCACTCCAACAGCAACAAATTTCTTCGAATTCAATTTCTTCAGCAAATGGTGGGGGAGGATTAACAATGGAAGGAGGAGGAGGTGGGGGAAGAGTAAATTCACCCCCTACAACTTTAAATAATCAGGAAAATAATTAAAAATTTTTTAAAAAATGTTTAAGAGGGGTATATATTTTTTTGTGTGTGTGTAATATTTTTGTCTTTTATTTTATTTGACGCTTTTTAAATTTTTGCGGACAACAATTGCGGACAAAACTAAAATTCTGATTTTTTATAAGTTATGATTTTTTAAATTAATTCTGGTTTTAATTCTGACCTATTCTGATTTTTATCCTGATTTTTGAATAAATTCTGATTTGAAATTCTGATTTTTTTAAAATAAATTCTGATTTTTTTAAATAAATTCTGATTTTTTTGAAGATATTCTGATTTTAATTCTGGCCTATTCTGTTCTGAAATTCTGATTTTTTTGAAATTATTTTGATTTTAATTTTGACTTATTCTGATTGATTGTAAGCTGCTCCCCCCACTCCTTGGCCAGGGAACTCAAAAAAATTTTTCTTAAATTGAGGGGGAATTAAATACTGAATGAATGTTTCTTATAATGAGGTTTAACTGTTAGCAGACTTAATTTAATGGTTGTCCGCAAATTTTATTTTTTTAAATTAAATTAAATTTATCAACGTGACAATATCTTTGTTTTATTATTATTTGCACAATATATATTTTTTCATATATTAAAGCGCTTTCCTTTAAAATTGTGTTTATTTCCGCTTTTCTGATTTTTTAAAATTTATTCTGATCAATTAAAAACTTTTTCTGAAAAAAATACGGATAAACTCAACCCTATTAAACTAGCCCAAACGTTTTGGCGCGGGTTTGTTCTGGCGCGAGGGCATATAAAATAGTCTGGTGATTATCTGGAAGGATAAAATTTTGCTATAATAACCCTCATATATTTATCTAAGTACTCAGAAAATTTCAGAATTTTTGGACCAGAATTTCAGAAATTATGACCAGAAATGTCAATTTACTACCCAAAAAAGCCTAATTTTTGGAGGTTTATCGACTATAACTCCAAAAATATTTGATGAAAAATTTTGAAATTTTTGGAGGAGTTGGCCAAGAAGGTTAAAAAATTTTGAGAAAATTTTTGAAAATTTTGGTTTCTCCCAAAGGTCAATATTGAAGCGCGCGCCAAAACGTCCAGTCGCCAAAACATCCCTAAACCATTAGGTTTCCGGAAATTTTTTCCGGAAAAAATTTTTTTCCGGAAAAGGAAAAAATTTTCCTGAAAAGAAGTTTATACATATCAGATGCATCTCATGAATTTAGATTTCGCCTAACAAATAAGTATCAATTTTGAAGCGCGCGCCAAAACTTGCATGCGCCAAAACATCCAAATCTCATTATAGGTGGAAAGTTTAATTGGACTATTATTTTAATCTCTTTTCCCCTCAATTTTTCAACAGACTTTTCTCTCACACAAATTTTAACGATTTTTAACACAAAATGTGTGTATTTTTTGGCGATTTGTATTTATGACGTTAACAAATTAAGCGAATTTAACAAAAAGACTAAGTACTTGTTGGGGGAATTTTTATATTTTGTTTGTGTGGGGGGGGGGGGGGGGTGGGGGGTGGGGGGAGACGGAAATAATAATTAAAACAAGGCGGGCGAATAATACACGAATAATACATACAATAGTAAAGAGAACTCATTTTCATTTTTGTGAGGCCGTTCTCTCTTTCCTTCCCCCCTTTTTTCACCCCCCTTTTTTTAATTTTAAAAAATATTAATCATTTCCTCATTTTTAATCTCGCGTACTTTCGGAGTGAAAGGTGACACCTTTTAGAGTAAAAATAAAGCTTTAGGATAGGAGGGGTACTGGCCAGGAATGGAGAGGAATGGACCGGGGTATCCGAAATACGATCCGAAGGTCGATACCCGGACTTTTGTTCGAAACAAAATCCGAACCCCCTCTGATTTTTTTCTAACTGGATATTCCTTCTGGCTGACACTGAAGTTTCAAATATGTATCCTGAAAATTTCTGAATTATTACTCCTTTAGGTACTTTTCAGTTATCGTGCCGCACATAAAAATATTTTAAAGTGTCTAGGGTTTTAACCGAACCGAAAACCCGAAGATTTTCGGCTTGGTTACCCTAAGAAATTGGTGTAACCGACACCCCCCCCCCCCCCCATCATGAATATGAACAAAATTTATGCAACTCGAAGGAACATGTCGAGATGAGTCGGATGACACCGAAATTAGCCCCCTCGGTCTCTGAGCCGAACTTAAGATGCTCATAATGGTCTCTATTATAAGAAAAACACCCCTTTTTCGCCTATTAGTAATAAAAGATCGTTCGGCCCATAAAAGGAAAATACTCATGCCCATAAAAAATAACAAGTCTATACTTCAGCCAATTAAATTCTAAAAATAAGCACAGACTACACTTTCTTCAAATTAATCAACAATTTATAAAAAACAAAAAAAAATTAATTAATTTCCCCCTTAATTTCCCCCTAATTTCCCCAAATTCTGTTTAAAAATACAGTAATACCCTCAAAATAATTAATCGGGCTTTCGCCAAATAATCATCAAAACAACCCTCCAGTCTCCTTCCTTTTTTAAATTTTTAGCAGAAAAAAAATAAACTAAACCAAAAATGTCTTCCCCCATAAATTAAAAGACCGGTTTTTGATTTATTTTAGAGGGAAGGAGAAATTTTTTTTAATTTTTAGTTTCACTTTTTTTTAAATAAAAATGAAACAAATTGAATAGATCAACAAAAATTTTTTTTATTTTATTTGTTCTTTTAATTTCTTTGTGTGATTTATACGACACCCCTACGGCGCGGGCTTTGCCGGCGTTAGTACGGAAAGTAGCTTGGGAGCGAGGGTCAAGCTGCTAGAGGACCGAAGTTGGGAGACGTGGAAATGGAGTAGGATCTGGTGTCGAAAACCACTTTCCTTTTAACGTCCTTCAGGGTATTTTGGTGACGTTAGAAGGAAAGGGGCTAAGGATAGAGGGTCAAATCAGGACGATTTGGAATGACGTTAGCAGTAAAGTTATCGAGCGAGAGCTGTATTTTAATAGACTTATCGACACTCAGTTTTACAACACCCGTATTCGTACGAGGGATGGGCGTGTTATCCGAAACCAGTACTTCTTTCAATCCGAAACCCGATCCGAGGAAATTTTTCCTAAACCCGACCCGATAAACCCAACCCGACGTAGAAGTACCTTATTTGTACTTCTACGACACCTCAGTTATACGACACTATCACTTTAACGTCAGATTTTTCCTGTACGGGAGGTCTCGTAAAAGCAAGATCCGACCATTAGATAAAGCATAAAAACTAAAATTTATTCCATCGATTTCCTCCAAGTATTCGCTAAACGCGCGGACATCAATACATTAAAATACTAAATTGTACATCGCTAGATCAAAAACAAACGAAGCGGAAGTAAAAAGGAGAGTGGGGGGAATTATTTTTCTTCATTTTATTTTATTCCTTCATTCTCCTTATTGTATAAGCATTTATTGTTAAAAATTTTTTTAAAAAAATTTAAAAAAATTTTTCGAGTTGTCATGCAAACGAGGCCTTTTTTTTATTAATTTTATGGTAAATGCTCAATTCATTTTTATTATTCTCAAAAATTCCCTTCTTGTCTCTAACATATTTTCTATTTAAAAATATTAAGAAAATAAGGGTTTGAAATCAGGTTAGGGAAAAATGTGGGTCTGACCATTATGAACCCAATGCCTATAGTAAATAGTACCCTGACACTGGATTGTCAGGAAATTCGTGTCCCAAATTCGGGGGAAGTTTCGATATTTACGGAAAACCGGACGGATTACTACAGAAAAATCCGGCCGGATACGGTTGCGCGAAATCTAAAATCTGGTTTCCTGATCCGGAATAAGAATTTAGCCAAAGACTACTAATAAAAGTTAAGAAGTCCCCTCTATTTCTTCCTCCTTAAAATGCGCTTAATGGTCAAACTTTTCTCCTTCCTCAAGTTTACTTTATTTCCCCATAGTATATAATCAGTTAATAAAAAACTAGAAACGGTCTAGACCAGGGCTGCGTCGAAATTTCGATTTTTGACTTCCGATTTTCGAAGATTCTTTTGTTTCGACGCAGCTCTGGTCTAGACTAGAGACCGGATCGATACGATATATCAATGGAAATTATTGACATTATCGATACCGATATTATCGAACGTTCAATAAAGTCCAGTCTCTAGTCTAGACGTCTCCCTTTGTGAACCAGGGGTGTCAAGGGCTACTTGATACCCCCTACTTTAAACCCGGTTCTTTTTCGCCCAAAACCCGATCTGAAGAAAATTCTGAAAACCCGGCCAGACTTTTTTCTTAAACCCGTGACATTACAGTCTGTGAACGTTCTGAATTAAATCCTTCGCGACCATCAAAGACCACAAAATTTTATTAAAATTTTGACAAAAATAAAGGGATTATTATAATCTTTGTTAAATTTATATATATCCCGTTTATTTATTAGAAAAAAAACAGGTTTTTTTGTTAATCATGTGAACACTCCCTTCCCTCTAATTTTTTATTAAATAATAATTTTTAATACACAATTCGGTTAGGTTTAAACATTTTTAACATCTTAACGCAAACAAGTTTAAACATTTTAAAAATCATTATAAACATAGTGTAAAAATTTTTTATGTTTCTAATTTTCTTTAAATTTTATGACTTTAATCGAAAAGTAGGCAAGTCTAGCGTGTGTACGCCAGACTTGTTCCACGTCCCCGAAAGACGGGGAATTTGAGATTTTTTGAAAATTCCCCGTTCCTTCCCGAAAAGTTATCCCCGTGGCCCTCCTCCCCGTCGGGGAACAACCTTAGTGCTATATTTGGGTTTATATAGCTTTTTCTCGGGTTCTACTATTCTGGGGACTTGTATTAGACTGAATTACATTTTCAAATATTTATTCTATTCATTAGTTTATTCTCCATATAAATATGGGATACAATAATAAGGGAGAGATTGGCTAGGCCAAATCTTCTTCTAATGAGGAAAAGGCTGGGGTATTTATAGAGACAACTTAAGGGTCAAAATATAAATGGAAAGTGAATAACAAAAATAAGATAAGGAACGAGAATTGGATGATAACGTCGGGAGGCCTTTTATTTAGAAAAAGGTCACTTTATATTGCATGTGAAAATGCAAATTGTTTATTTGATTAAGCGAATGCAGCATTCCTTCCCTCTTCGAAAAGAACGTCCACGTTCTGATATTTTGGGAGATTTGTTTAGGCTGCTTTTTTAAACTAAATTTTCTCCGATTTAACGGGTGGCACTTTAACTTTTAAATATTTTATATATATAATTTTTTTTCATTCTCGTCTTTTATTTCTCATAACGGTATTTTCAATAATTATTTTTTATATTCTAATGCCTTCGCTTAACAATCTCCATTTGGGTTTAAAATCTTTTTCTTGTCATTAAAGATCTTCTGCATTAGCGATTCAACTCCATATTCTCCGACTTTAGTAAATTTTAGAGAGATTACTGAATGGGGCAGATTACATAATTTTGGGAGGGTAAAGAAAAATTACACAAGGGGATTAAAAAACAAAATTGGTTTACAAAAATTTTTAAAAAATTATGGTGACAAGAACTTATGGAGTGTTTGTTACAGCCTAGTTGAGATTGGAGCATCATTCTTTCCAGTGTTGTCCATTTGATTCTTTGAGTGCCATGTGCCATTTTTGCATCCAGAGTAGATCAGTCGTTTTATTGTTGTCCCTTATCATTGAATTGTTGAGGCATAGAAGTTGCAAATAATTTCCTTGTTACTGTTCTCTTTGCGACGAGCGTGAGTTTCTCCGTTGAAAAAACGGGCAAAAGATTTTATGATCAATCTTCAAAATTTCTTATTTTTTGCTTTTTATGAAAAATTCTTAAACACTTTTTCCTTCCCTTCAATAAAAAAAATCGTCTTGTTTTTGCTTGTCTTCCACAGCTATCACTGTTTAAAGATTAGGTTTAGATCCATTCTCGGTTTTATTTGCTGCGCACCCCGCGTCTTATGCATTATAGCCAGGCACCTAGCCCGCACAAAGCTTCGGCTATTTAATTACCACAGAAAGTTCTTTTCCGCTTCTATCTTCAGTGTTAACTTTTCAGATCATTACACTTTCAAGACGTTTTTTTTTAAAATCCCTCCAAACTAAGATATTAATTTTCTAGAATTTTTCTATTTTTCACACACCAGGCTATGCCATTATTGTATTTGCGGATGCTTGATTAATTTTTTTTTATTTCCAGCTATCTCGGTTTATAACCGCCATTTTAATTCATTCGATTTTTTTAATTCTTCGGGTCTATGCCCGGTATATTAATTTTTAGTCCTCTCAGAATAGCCCGGGACAAGTGGCACCAATTGCTATATTTGGGTTTATATAGCTTTTTCTCGGGTTCTACTATTCTGGGGACTTGTATTAGACTGAATTACATTTTCAAATATTTATTCTATTCATTAGTTTATTCTCCATATAAATATGGGATACAATAATAAGGGAGAGATTGGCTAGGCCAAATCTTCTTCTAATGAGGAAAAGGCTGGGGTATTTATAGAGACAACTTAAGGGTCAAAATATAAATGGAAAGTGAATAACAAAAATAAGATAAGGAACGAGAATTGGATGATAACGTCGGGAGGCCTTTTATTTAGAAAAAGGTCACTTTATATTGCATGTGAAAATGCAAATTGTTTATTTGATTAAGCGAATGCAGCACTTAGTGTACGCCAGAGTTCCTTTCCATTCAGATTTCTAAACTCGGGACGCGAATTTATTTTTTTATAACATCAGGATCCCTGATCTCCACCGCGCGAGTTCGGGTTAGAGTTGTTTCGAAATTTCGGGTTTCGATTTCGCTTTTTGGGGATATTTTCGAGTTCTGATTTTCGAATTTTTTTGGTTCGAAAAAGCTAGACCCAGAGCTTGTGGCGAAACGAAGTCTCTCATCAAGAATGTGATGGGTTACCATCTACTTGGACTTTCTCCAACGTGAAACCATAAATCCATTTCGAGAAATTTTCGAAACCCGATCCGAAACCGACCCCGACTTTCTCTCCTTGTATGACTTTTCTAAACTGTCCAGTCTTCTCGACACATTCCTTTAAGAGATAAGAGTGTTTCTATCAGTGCTGTGTTTTGGGCATTTGTTGGCTCCAGCTCCGACTCTGACCTTTTTCAAAATCTTAGCTCCAGCTTTGGCTCCAGAGCTAGCTCCCGGAGCCACACACAACACTGGTCTATTACCCAAAACTTGTCTAACAACTATATATTTTTAAGTGTTCTAATATAAGCCCATCTCTAATACAAATCCGCCCGGGGAGGCATATTGAAAAATATAAGTCCAAGACTTCTATTAGAGCATTTACTGTATATTTTCAATGACATAATATTCAATTTTAAAAAATAATCGAGGTCCATAACCCTTCTATCAAAAAAATAACTAAAAATAATTTTTCATATTATTTAATCCATCCAAATATGTACATATAAATATTAACTGTCCCCCGTAGTAATGTGTGCGAAAAAAGGTGAATAAATAATAAAAATCCCCCCTTCACAATTCAACAAAAACAACTGTTGGATGATTATTAAAATTATTTTTTTAACTGTATTTTTATTTTATTTTATTAAATTAAAAAATTTATTTAAAAAATTAAAAGATGAAATTTTATAATTAAAAATAATATTTTTAAATTTAATTTATTTTAACCCTTAAATTATTTAATTATGGTGGAGATTCAAAGAATTTATGTATTCCTGGCTATTTTCACCATTGTATATTTTCTTGAAGCTATAGGCGGGACGTTAGTTAAATTTTTTAAAATTAAAAAAATATTTCAAAATGTCAAAATTTCATAATGTCGAAAATCTCAATCTTTCAAAATGTCAAAATCTCAAAATTTCAAAATGTCAACTTTCAAAAATGTCAAATTTTGGGGTCGTTTTGGCGCCGGGCCGTTTTGGCAAATTTTTGAAATGACAAAATTTCAAATTGTAAAATTTCAAAATGGAAAATTTCAATTTGTCAAATTTTCAAAATATTAGCTATTAAAAATGTCAAAATTTTCAGAATGCCCAAAATTTCAAAACGCCAAAAACTCAAAATGCCCAATAATTAAAACTTAATTTTTTAGTTATATGGTAACAGCAGTACAGAATATCGAAAGGCATTTTAGGATTCCTTCAAAATTGTCGGGTCTACTCGTCTCAGCACGTAAAATATCTAAAAATTCACAGACAGACCTCTATATAAGATACCCCCAATACAAGACACCTCTATTTAAGAGACGGTTTTTAAACGGTGTTATTAGAGATCGAGATTTTTGAAAAGCCTCGGCCTGTTCCTGGACTCTGGGTTTGATTTATTGACCCGGGCCTATCCTGGGCCTCTAGTCCAGGAAAAAACCTGGACCAGGAAAACCCCAGGAAGGTCAAAAAATGCCCAGACCTGGACTCTGGGTACAGGAAAACCCAGGCCTTGGTCCAGACCCAGGCCGATCTCTAGTGGCCATTGGGTGGGCTGCCTAAGCGATACCCTTCTAATTATAAGGAGGAAATTTTAAGCCCTAAGGGGGTGCCTTATATTGGGGTGTCTTATAATTAGGTCCAATATATTTTAATAAATTACAGTAATCCTAAATAATTTCTAGATGATATCTCCTATGTATTAACAGTGGTATTGGTCTCTTATTACGGCTCTAGGGGTAATACCGTACTTTAAATTCAAAATTAATTTTTAAATTTAAAGGAAATAGAGCTAAATGGATAGGAATAGGTAAATAATACTCAAAAAATTTTCAAAAAATTTAAAAAAATTTAAAAAAAATTTAAAAAAAATTTTCAAAAAATTTCAAAAAAATTTTAAGAAATTTTTAAAAATTTTCAAAAGAAAAAATTTCAAAAAAATTTTCAAAAAATGTTCGAAAAATTTTTTCTTAAAGGCACCATAGTTATGGCAGTAGCACACATATTGACTGCCTCTTCCAACTATTTATTTCGCAGCAATCCTGCAAAATTAAACTTGACACAAATGGAGGTAGAAATCTAATAGGATTATTTACATATGTTAATAGGAGAGAAGTGTGTTAAATATTGCGTAAATAGACGAAATACGAAACACGAAATTAAATTAAGACGAAAAAAGACGAAATTCGTTGAAGCCGAAAAGTGAAAGCGAAACTGGCACACTCTTGGTAGACCCATAAATATGTTAAAAACGGGTGGGCATCTCTTAACTTGAGCCGCAAGCCGTTTCAAGGGGGTGTGGTAATTTCTCTTTCAACTTCACCCTTTAGTGATTTTCGTCTTTTCGCTCACTTTTTCTATTTAAATTTCTTGTTTCGCCATTTTTTAATTCAATTTTGTGTTTCGCCATACTTATATGATTTAATTTCGTGTTTCGCCTCGTTTTTACTATTTAAATTTCGCGTTTCGTATTTCGTCTTTTGTCTATTTGACTCTATTTGGACACTCCCTGGCACTCCCAATCTATTTAGACACTCCCTGGTTCCTAGCCTTGGCTGTCCACAGTTCGCCTAGCTTTTTCTATTATAATTTCTGTTTCGTGTTTCGTCTATTTGGCTCTATTTAGGCACTCTCTGTCACTCACTGTATATTTAGTGACTCCTGGTTCCTAGTCTTAGCTGTCCACATTTTTCCTTATTTTTCTAAAAACAATTTCAATTAAGGTTAGGCTAAAGCCCAATGCCAGCTTGTTAGAGTCATCTCCTCTAACTACAAACATATCAACTTTGAAAGAATTTTTTGACTTTGAACCTATTAGAGACAGAATATCCCCTCATTTACGTGAAGCATTAATATTTGCTACAATGGAAAATAGAAATTATTCAAATGAGAAAAGCATGGTTGAACTGCTAAAACGTCCAATCTATGCGGGGGAAAATAAAAAGAGTGGGGGAGGGTACGCTTTGGATGAGCCTTTAATGGGGGAGGTAAATTTAAAAATATGTTTTCATACCCATTGATAAAAATAGTAATGAAGTACCGTATTTCCTTAAATAACCCCTAGGGTAATTATTGTTGTTAGATCTCGCCAGAGGGGGGGGGGATTAATCGAGGGCTGGCGGTTGAATAAGATTATACGTTAGTTATGTGTATAACAGGGTGGCCCTTTCCAAATCCACTAAAGGGGGCTCTCAAAAAGGGGGCAACGGAGAAAAGGGGACGAGAAGCTCAAAAAGGGGGCAGATGCCTCCCAAATGAGGAAAAAGGGCCACTCTGATGTAGAATAATATTAGGATGTAAAGGATAGATAAAGGATTGGCAAAATTACGTTTCGTTTTGCATTTTGAGCCCATCCCCATTTCATTATATTTCGAAAAATAAACTAAATTCCCGTTACTAGTCTATGGTGACGATCTAAAAATCGAATGCCGGATCGGGATACGACTTAACTGATCAATCGGTCATTTGGATAGTATGAGAGAGAAAGAATTAATCAACTTAAATTTTAAAGATAATTTGGAGATCACAAATGTTAATAGCTGCAAATAACGAGAATGATAGACTAAATGCAACTATAGCATTAGAAAAGGCTATGAGACAATTTGTATCAAATCGAGAAAAGTATGCCGAGGAGGATATTAAAGTACATAGCAAATTAAAAAAATTAAAAAATTTTTTTTTAAATTTTCAAAAAATTTTTTTGAAATTTTAAAAATTTTTTTGAAAATTTTCGAAATTTTCAAAAATTTTTTCAAAAAAAATTTTCAAAATTTCAAAAATTTTCAAGGCAGTCCGTTCCCTCGCCATCGCCCCCTTTGCAATATGTAATCGTCTAATCGGCGACTTCCGGACAGCCTTGCGTGAATTAAAGTGCACAAACCATCATTCCAATACAATGCCTCTGCTTGTTATTTTTGGGGCTATGTTAATTCTCGGATTTGGAAGGACCATGCCTTGGTCTCTAGGGATACCCTTAGTAGACGATAATGTAAAGAAACAACAAATGCCTATTTATTTTGGTTAGAAAATTAAAATTCTTGTGGACACCGTAACCCTACCTTAACTACCGTAATTTATGGTACTGTAAATCTAGATGAAGCGTCACTCCTGGGTAGGGTTGGGGTTTTCGAGTCGGGACGACGTTCGAGTCATTTTTTCGGGCTAAATTTTTTTTCGGGCCGGCCCGACCGAGTCCTTTTCGGGCTTCATTTTTTCGGGCCGGCCCGACCGAGTCTTTTTCGAGCCAAACTTCTATGCCCGACTCGATTGCTCGGACCGGACCGGGCCTCCAAACTTACTACTGGGACTGGAGTGAGACGACGTATTAGTGAGGGAAACGTGTGATCAGGGTGATTTATGAGTGAAAAATGATTAATCCGGAATCCGGTTCCAAAATCAAGGGTTTTGGTATCTCCGGCTTATTCCCAGACCATATAAATCTAAAAAAATCTGACCAGATCCAGTCCGGTTTTAGTACAAACCCGGATCCTATTCCGGCAGATTTGTTATATGTGTTTGGGATTGCCCATTTTTCTTAAATTTTTTTCTATAAAAAGAGAGGATTTCTGACACTTGACCTTCTGAAAATTTCAACATTTCTCGTTGGGAGGCTAAAATCGGACGAATTCTGGCTTCCTGTCAACTGAACTGAATACACCCAATTATTAATCATTATTTTTACAGCAATGATAAATTTCTTCAAAATTCTTGGCCCAATTTGTGGCTTTGTAATTGGCGCCGTTGTCAATAAATTATATTACACATTCCCTGCGAGTGCCCCAAGAGGTCTATCTCCACAAGACCCAACCTGGATCGGTGCTTGGTGGCTGGGATTTTTATTTATCGGTGTGGTTATGATTGGACCCTCTTTAATGTTGTTTTTCTTTCCGGAGGGTGGAAGTAAAAAGGATAAAAAGTAATTAATTTTACAAATAGATATTTAAAAATTGTTGGCGATAAGCCTGGAAGTGCATCAGCTAGTACAGTTCATTCGTTCTTGTATATACATAAACTCAATTCTAGTGGAAGGATATAAATATATGGATTAGAGTGATTAGGAGAGTATTTGGGGATTAGGAGGGCTTGAGAGGATTTTGCGGAAGAAATTGGGGGACCTGGGAGAAATAAGATGAATGAGGCTAAAAGGAAGGCCTAAGAGGGGGATGTAGAGGGATTAAGTGAGTTTTGGGATGATATTTTGGGTTTTTGAGGATATAGCGGTATACCGGGGATCTTTGAGAATTAAGAGTGATATTGGAGATCAAAAAGGATATAGAGGGATTAAGAATGATATCATAGGATTAAGAGGATATAGAGGGACTAAAACTGATATCAAGGAATTAAGAGGGATATAGAGGGATTAAGAAGGATATAGTGGGATTAAGAGAATTTTGAGAAAGGAATCTGACTTCTTAGTCTTCCAAAATTTAAAAATACCAAAAATACATAATGAAAATAAATTAAATTCAGAAGATCAAAAAACCACCAAAACGGGCATTACTACAACAAAAACAATTGCAATAGCAAAATATATTCGAACGAATTTAACGAAATTAAGAAAAAAGAAAAACAAAAAATAGCATTGTTTGATAAACATATTGAAGAGAAAAAAGGTGTTGAAAAGTTTAAAATTAAAAAAATATTTTAAAAATTTAAGGAGCTAATGGAGGAGAAGGTTTAAGTCTGCTCGAGTTTTTGCGTTCATATGGAGCTGTGTTAAATTCTCGTGTTTATGTAGGCGCTTCGATAGCTAGAGTACTCGATGTATTGGCCTTTAAGGTGTTTTTTGGTTGTTATTTATGATAGGGGGTTCGACCTATTTAAGAATGGGAGTAGTTATGAACAGAGACGGACGCAAATTTTTGTTTTATTTCGTGTTTCGTGGATCTTATTTCTCGTTCCGTTTCGTGTTTCGTTATGATTGGACCGACATAGCAATAACCCCAAACGTCGGATTTGAAAATTTCGAGGTCAGGGTTGAGAACATTTAGGTCCTGTTTCCTTCCAACCCTACTGTATGTTGAAGAAGTGAGATTTACTGGCTAACACGCTTACTTGGACAGGGTTTAGGATCTATTTACTTCCCGATAGCTTAATCGGTAGGGGATTTTTCATCGTATGAAAAGCGTCTTGCAAACTCATGGAGGTTGCAGAATCGATGCCTGCTCGGATCTAAAATTTATCCCTCACTCTACATAGCATTATCACCAAAAAATAACCTCAACGTATTTAAGGGTTATATGGTCTTCTTACCCAAATTTTTGGAGAATCATTATGGCATTCCTCAATATCAAGTGCACATTTATATGGCATTTTTTGGGGTATTAGGATTTGCTTTTGGAGCAGCTAGTGGAGGTTTTATAATGAAAAAGCTGAGGCTGAATGGAAGAAAAGCAGCTATTTATGTTTTGATTATTTCTGTTATAAATACTGCATTGTTTGGGCTAAAGCCGCTACTTGGGTGTTATTCTACTGTTAATAGGTGGATGAATATTCTAATTTGCCTTCAGGACATATAGCTTTGAAAATTTATTTAAATTACCCTCAGGGCAGAAAAATAATAGAATTTGCCCTCAGGGCATATATTTTTTGAAAATTGCCCTCAGGGCATAAATTTTACAAAAATTTCCCGCAGGGCATAAATTTTTTGAAAATTTACCCCCAGGCCAAAAATTTTTAGAAATATACCCTCAGGGCATATATTTTTGAAAATACATTTAATTTTCCCTCAGGGCATAATAATAAAATTATTTTTTAAAGTATTGGCCGTGACGTTCCCAGTAATTCAAATAACCACCATATAGAATTAAACCTAACACGGGAATGTAACACAGAATGTGGATGTAACTCAGCAAAACTTTATCCAGTCTGTGATAGAGCTGGTAATGTCTATTACTCTCCTTGTCATGCTGGGTGCAGACATATTGAGGTTGGAAGAATATAAATAGTAAAACTCAGAGTAAAATTCAGAATTAAGAGAAAATAAGCACAAAATCTAGAATAAAGAAACAGAATAAAAGCTAAAATAAAAATCAGAATAAAAGCTAAAATAAAAATCAGAATAAAAATCAGAATAAGAATCAGAACAAAAGCTAAAATAAAAATCAGAATAAATCAGAATAAAATCTGATAAAAATCAGAATAAAAATCAGAATAAAAAACAGAATAAAACTAAAATGAAAATCAGAATAAGAATCAGAATACAACCAGAATAAAAATCAGAATAAAATCAGAACAAAAATCAGAACAACTAAATATTATCCTCAGATACTGGACGGAGAAGAAAATAAGCTGGAGTTTTCAGAATGTGAATGCGCTGATGGGGGTATTGTAAGCAAAAAACTTTGCCCAGACAATTGTAGATTTATGAGGTGAATAGATAAAGAATTTAGAAATTTTCCAATAAAAATTTTTTTCCAAGATACGCCTTTTTCGTCACGATAGTTCTCGGTGCCTTCATTGCCGGTACAGGCGTTGTGCCAGGAATGTTGTTACTCTTACGCTCCGTCCCTCCCGAAACTAGGAGTCCAGCATTGGGACTGCAAGGCCTTTTGGTGTCTGGAATAGGCACACTTCCATCTCCTGTGCTTTGGGGCTTAGTGATTGACAGTGCTTGTCGTGTATGGGATTATGAATGTCAAAAAAGAGGGGCATGCAATGTAAGAGAAGAAGGGTGTAAATTTATATCCAGAAAACCCTGAGTTACTTCAAAAAGTCAGTATCAGTAGTCAAATCCCTTAGAAACGGAACGTGGCAACTGAAAACCAGCCATCTTTGATCGACAATGACTCTGCCTTGATCCTCTAAGTGATTATTATATCATTCGAAGTATCATTTTTGGAAAGTCCCATCCATCCTATCATCCATCCTTGGAGTTTGATCACTGGTTAGTTCGATCACTGGTTAAACTATCATTCATCCATGGAGTTTCATCATTGGTTATTCATCCTTATTGGGTCAAGAATAAAAAAATTAAGGTCGATCAAAGGTGTTTGCCACCTATTTGGCTACCCTTGTTGACCCTAACATCTGAAATACCATGATCAGGGCCTTGATCCTATTTATAATTTTAAACTGCCCTATTACATTTGCCCTATAACCTACATACTTAAAAATCTAAAGTTAATTCTATTATTAAATATTTTATTAATTTTTCAAAACAGATCTACGATCCTTGGGCACTACGTATGCGAATGCATTTTCTTTATGTTTTTATTAGGGGATTATCATTACTTGCCGATATTTATGTTTGTATTCACGCAAAAGGATTGAACTTACAAGAGGAGGATGATGAAGGAAAGAATGAAGAAGATAGGCAATCAGCTGAGAAGGCTGCGGCAATACGCGAAACTATAACTTTGGAAGCTATTCCTACATAATATATATTTTTAAATTTTATTTAAATTTTATTATTACATAAATTTATTAATTTTAATATAATATACATAAATAATATTATTCAAAAATATTGCAATATTGATATTTGGGTCTCATATTAATTTACGTAAATTTCACTGCCACAGAATAGTTAATTTTCTAATAAATGAAAATTTTTGCCCTTATTTTGGTTTAAGTGTTTGTACTTCTTCACGATATTCAGCCATGAAATGCCGACATTTGTCGCATAAATCTTACTTATAAACTACTACATTTGTCTTCATCACAACATTCACTGTTAAACTAAATAGTTAATTTTTTTAAGTTTAATTTTAATTTTTTTTTATTTAATTTTAATTTTCTATTTCTAAGTTTAATTAATTTATTAATCGATAAATTTAAAAATTTTTATTAACTGTATTTAAAAGATTTTTATTCGTCTAATAAAACTTATAAACTACTAATAAATCTTACTTATAATTTGCGTAAATTTCACTGCCACAGAATAGTTAATCTTCATCTTCCGATATATCTATAATTATCTCGAATAAATTTTAAATCTTACTTATAAACTGCTACCAGTTGTTATATTATGTAGAAATAGCTGAGAAGAAATTGAAAATTTATTATAAATTAGTATTATAATTATTTAGAATATATTTTAAATTTTACCTAATATTTTATGTCTAGATTTTTTATGAAAAATTATTTTAGAAGAAAATGAAAATTTATTATAAATTAGTTCTATAATTATCTCGAATAAATTTTAAATCTTACTTATAAACTGCTACCAGTTGTTATATTATGTAGAAATAGCTGAGAAGAAATGAAAATTTATTATACATTAGTATTATAATTATTTTGAATATATTTTAAATTTTACATGAAATTTTATCTGTAGTTTTTTATGAAGAAATATCTAAGAGGAAATTGAAAATTTATTATACATTAGTATTATAATTATTTAGAATATATTTTAAATTTTACCTAATATTTTATGTCTAGATTTTTTATTAAAAATTATCTTAGAAGAAAATGAAAATTTATTATAAATTAGTTCTATAATTATCTCGAATAAATTTTAAATCTTACTTATAAACTGCTACCAGTTGTTATATTATGTAGAAATAGCTGAGAAGAAATGAAAATTTATTATACATTAGTATTATAATTATTTCGAATATATTTTAAATTTTACATGAAATTTTATCTGTAGTTTTTTGTGAAGAAATATCTAAGAGGAAATTTAAAATTTATTATACATTAGTATTATAATTATTTCGAATATATTTTAAATTTTACCTAATATTTTATGTCTAGATTTTTTATTAAAAATTATCTTAGAAGAAAATGAAAATTTATTATAAATTAGTATTATAATTATTTCACATATATTTTAAATCTTACTTATAAACTGCTACCAGTTGTTATATTATGTAGAAATAGCTGAGAAGAAATGAAAATTTATTATACATTAGTATTATAATTATTTCGAATATATTTTAAATTTTACATGAAATTTTATCTGTAGTTTTTTGTGAAGAAATATCTAAGAGGAAATTGAAAATTTATTATACATTAGTATTATAATTATTTCGAATATATTTTAAATTTTACCTAATATTTTATGTCTAGATTTTTTATTAAAAATTATCTTAGAAGAAAATGAAAATTTATTATAAATTAGTATTATAATTATTTCGAATATATTTTAAATCTTACTTATAAACTGCTACCAGTTGTTATATTATGTAGAAATAGCTGAGAAGAAATGAAAATTTATTATACATTAGTATTATAATTATTTCGAATATATTTTAAATTTTACATGAAATTTTATCTGTAGTTTTTTGTGAAGAAATATCTAAGAGGAAATTGAAAATTTATTATACATTAGTATTATAATTATTTCGAATATATTTTAAATTTTACCTAATATTTTATGTCTAGATTTTTTATTAAAAATTATCTTAGAAGAAAATGAAAATTTATTATAAATTAGTATTATAATTATTTCGAATATATTTTAAATCTTACTTATAAACTGCTACCAGTTGTTATATTATGTAGAAATAGCTGAGAAGAAATGAAAATTTATTATACATTAGTATTATAATTATTTCGAATATATTTTAAATTTTACATGAAATTTTATCTGTAGTTTTTTGTGAAGAAATATCTAAGAGGAAATTGAAAATTTATTATACATTAGTATTATAATTATTTCGAATATATTTTAAATTTTACCTAATATTTTATGTCTAGATTTTTTATTAAAAATTATCTTAGAAGAAAATGAAAATTTATTATAAATTAGTATTATAATTATTTCGAATATATTTTAAATCTTACTTATAAACTGCTACCAGTTGTTATATTATGTAGAAATAGCTGAGAAGAAATGAAAATTTATTATACATTAGTATTATAATTATTTCGAATATATTTTAAATTTTACATGAAATTTTATCTGTAGTTTTTTATGAAGAAATATCTAAGAGGAAATTGAAAATTTATTATACATTAGTATTATAATTATTTCGAATATATTTTAAATTTTACCTAATATTTTATGTCTAGATTTTTTATTAAAAATTATCTTAGTAGAAAATGAAAATTTATTATAAATTAGTTCTATAATTATCTCGAATAAATTTTAAATCTTACTTATAAACTGCTACCAGTTGTTATATTATGTAGAAATAGCTGAGAAGAAATGAAAATTTATTATACATTAGTATTATAATTATTTCGAATATATTTTAAATTTTACATGAAATTTTATCTGTAGTTTTTTGTGAAGAAATATCTAAGAGGAAATTGAAAATTTATTATACATTAGTATTATAATTATTTCGAATATATTTTAAATTTTACCTAATATTTTATGTCTAGATTTTTTATTAAAAATTATCTTAGAAGAAAATGAAAATTTATTATAAATTAGTATTATAATTATTTCACATATATTTTAAATCTTACTTATAAACTGCTACCAGTTGTTATATTATGTAGAAATAGCTGAGAAGAAATGAAAATTTATTATACATTAGTATTATAATTATTTCGAATATATTTTAAATTTTACATGAAATTTTATCTGTAGTTTTTTGTGAAGAAATATCTAAGAGGAAATTGAAAATTTATTATACATTAGTATTATAATTATTTCGAATATATTTTAAATTTTACCTAATATTTTATGTCTAGATTTTTTATTAAAAATTATCTTAGAAGAAAATGAAAATTTATTATAAATTAGTTCTATAATTATCTCGAATAATTTTTAAATCTTACTTATAAACTGCTACCAGTTGTTATATTATGTAGAAATAGCTGAGAAGAAATGAAAATTTATTATACATTAGTATTATAATTATTTAGAATATATTTTAAATTTTACATGAAATTTTATCTGTAGTTTTTTGTGAAGAAATATCTAAGAGGAAATTGAAAATTTATTATTCATTAGTATTATAATTATTTCGAATATATTTTAAATTTTACCTAATATTTTATGTCTAGATTTTTTATTAAAAATTATCTTAGAAGAAAATGAAAATTTATTATAAATTAGTTCTATAATTATCTCGAATAATTTTTAAATCTTACTTATAAACTGCTACCAGTTGTTATATTATGTAGAAATAGCTGAGAAAAAATGAAAATTTATTATACATTAGTATTATAATTATTTCGAATATCTTTTAAATTTTACATGAAATTTTATCTGTAGTTTTTTGTGAAGAAATATCTAAGAGGAAATTGAAAATTTATTATACATTAGTATTATAATTATTTCGAATATATTTTAAATTTTACCTAATATTTTATGTCTAGATTTTTTATTAAAAATTATCTTAGAAGAAAATGAAAATTTATTATAAATTAGTTCTATAATTATCTCGAATAAATTTTAAATCTTACTTATAAACTGCTACCAGTTGTTATATTATTACGATAAATTTAAAAAATTTTATTAACTGTATTTCAAATATTTTTATTCGTCTAATTTGTATTTTGAAAAAATAATAATCTGTTAAATTATAAATATCTTCATCTCAACATTCACTATCAACACTTCTTATTTCTTAGTTTAATTAGTTTATTTATCGATAAATTTAAAAAATTTTATTAACTATATTTCAAATATTTTTATTCGTCTAATTTGTATTTCGAAAAAATAATAATCTGTTACATAATAAATCTCTTCATCTCAACATTCACTATCAACACTTCTTATTTCTTAGTTTAATTAGTTTATTTATCGATAATTTATTATAAATTAGTTCTATAATTATCTCGAATAAATTTTAAATCTTACTTATAAACTGCTACCAGTTGTTATATTATGTAGAAATAGCTGAGAAGAAATGAAAATTTATTATACATTAGTATTATGATTATTTTGAATATATTTTAAATTTTACATGAAATTTTATCTGTAGTTTTTTATGAAGAAATATCTAAGAGGAAATTGAAAATTTATTATACATTAGTATTATAATTATTTAGAATATATTTTAAATTTTACCTAATATTTTATGTCTAGATTTTTTATTAAAAATTATCTTAGAAGAAAATGAAAATTTATTATAAATTAGTTCTATAATTATCTCGAATAAATTTTAAATCTTACTTATAAACTGCTACCAGTTGTTATATTATTACGATAAATTTAAAAAATTTTATTAACTGTATTTCAAATATTTTTATTCGTCTAATTTGTATTTCGAAAAAATAATAATCTGTTACATAATAAATCTCTTCATCTCAACATTCACTATCAACACTTCTTATTTCTTAGTTTAATTAGTTTATTTATCGATAAAATTAAAAAATTTTATTAACTATATTTCAAATATTTTTATTCGTCTAATTTGTATTTCGAAAAAATAATAATCTGTTACATAATAAATCTCTTCATCTCAACATTCACTATCAACACTTCTTATTTCTTAGTTTAATTAGTTTATTTATCGATAAATTTAAAAAATTTTATTAACTATATTTCA